CTTAAGTCCGGCCTGTCCCTCTACAGGAGGAATAGTCAAACATAGTATGGTGACGATTGTGCGATTTGCTTGGATTTTTTCTGCCGATTTTTCTGACTAGTTTTCATTGTTCGCCCAAAGCCCGCCTGTAGGAGGACATGCCCGACGAAATGGTAATGGGGGGAGGGGCCCCCATGGGGGGGGGGGCAGAAAGGGCCCCCCGAAAGGGGCCCTGAAGGGCCCCTTTTGGGTCTTCTCCTCACCCCCCATTCAGGTCACCCCCCATTATCGGGCCAAACGAAAGGGGGGGTTAGGGAAAGGGGGGGGGTACGAAATCTGCTGCATGCAGCTGGTTACGGCCCCGCCGCCGGGCCCATCCCTCGATACCTGGGCGCCTCCTGGCGCCGGGAGGCGCCGGGAAGCTCAGCTACGTGAGCTGATTCTCCCCCCCCCCTTTGCTGTCCCCCCTTTCGCCCGGCCCGCCTTTACCGCCCGCCCGAACATGTCACACATGTCGTCGGCCCGGCGCCACCGGTTCCGTTTTGCCGTTTTTGTTGCCGGTTCCGTCGCTGTTGTTTGACCCGTTCCGGCTCCGGTTCCAATCCTGGAGCCGTTTTTTTGCCGTTTCCGGTCGCCGTTTTTTTGCCGTTTCCATTTTCAAGGTACTTTTTTCGGGAAACGGTGAAAAACGGGCCTGCCGTTTCCGGGGCCCACAAAGGCCGACATGACCCGCCTGGTCCCTTGCTCCCTCTCTCGGGGGCTGGGCCCCAGAGGGCTTCGAAGTCCGACCGCGAGGCTGCTCCGCGGAGGCGGCGCAGAAGCGTGCCCCGCACCCACCTGTTAGGTGCTCGTTTGGGGGACCTTCCTGGGACCCACCTAACTGATATGTTCGACTCAAGTTCCACTCAAGTTCGATTCAAGTTCGATTAAGTTTCGACTCATGTTTGACTCAGGTTCGACTCAAGGTCGGCTCAAATCGTCGGACGTTCGACGCAGCTTCGACGCACGAGTAGAGCGAGTGTCTCCGGGAAGGTCCCCAGAATGAGCATCCAACACTTGCCCCTCCAGGGCGCCAGGTGCGGGTGGGGGGTGCTCTCTTCTGCTCCCCCAGTGCCAGAGCTGCTTCCCATTGTGAGCTCTCCCCCATGTAGTGCGGGGGACCTTCGTCAGAAGCACGGGCACCACCGTCGGTATCGCCAGCACCACTCGGGATTCGGGGCTGGAACGGGCGCAAGAGGAGGAGAATCAGGAGGGGAACCAGCACACACAGACGCAATGAGTCGTCGACTCCCAGGAAGACATGGGAAAGTGTGGGAAGTGGGGCGGGAAGGCGAAAGCCCAGAACATATAGGAACACATGGGGAATCTTGGGATGTGTGTCTATTTATCGCAAAGGCCTTACGGCCAGTTCCGCCGACCCTGGAAAGGATGTCAAGGAGGAGGAGGAGGAGGAGGACGACGACGACGACGATGAGGCAACGGAGTGGGAGGAGGAGCTGGAGGGTGAGGAGGAGGAGGAGGAGGAGGAGGAGGAGGAGGAGGAGGAAGACGCGGAGAAGGAGGAGGACGAGGAGGACGCAGCGAATGAGGATCTGTGTGTCCCTGGGCGCCTCTGGAGGAGGAGGCCGAGGCGCCGTCCGCAGCGGCCCGGCGAGCGGCGGCGGCCCCCTCGGCGCGCCGAGGTCGACCCCGCGCTCGAGGGCCGCTGCTGCCGGCGCTGTGGCCACGAGTCCTGCCAGGGCATCGCCAGGCCCCGGCACGACAGGCACCGCCGCGGGGTGGGCCGCCGGTGCCCTTCTCTCGGGGGACAAAAAGTGGCATAAGCATAAAAACTCGGAGGTCCGCGCGGATTTCTCGGATCGGCGCTGGACCCCCTTCCCTGGCGCGCGGAGCGCGCCAGGGGCGGAGCGGAGGCGCCGCCGGGGGGCCCCAGCGCCGATCCGAGAAATCCGCGCGGACCTCTGAGTTTTTATGTTTATGTCACTTTTTGTTCCTCTACTCTCAGCGGGCGCGTTCCTCTACTCGCGAAGTGTGCCTGCTCGCAAGCGTCCGAGCAAAACATGTGCTCCTCTTTTTATGTAATGTGTCGTAAAAGCCTCCCGCGGCGCATCCGGGCCATCTGCGAGTGCGTCGCTACTCTGCGGATGGCGGAGTGCGCTTGGCCACTTCCCCTCTAGTCGGAAAAGCAAAAAAACGGCCTAAGCATAAGTTTGTGGCGCTCCGCGAGGGTTTCTTGGCTCCGCGCGGGGCCAAACCCTCTGGCGGCGCCTCGGACGCCGCCCCTGGCGCGCGGAGCGCGCCATGGAGGGGGGTCCAGCGCGCGCGGATCCATGACATCCGCGCGGCGCTCCGAAAGTTGTATATTTATGCCGTCTGTTCTTGTTCTCTCTAGGCTTCCCAGATCGGGTCCGAGCAGATGCGGCCAGAGGATCTCGCCGCATCGCCGAGGCATCGGCGATGCGGAGCGACTTGGAGCCCGATCTTCTCTACGCAGGATTGCAAAAAAAACGAAGGATTGCAA